GACATTTCCAAAAAAGATAGTAAAACTTCTACCATGTGTCGTTTAATCACACAAAAACCTATGTTATTTGCAAATTAATAACAGCTGCCCATTTCACTTATCGTCACCTACCAAACGACACCGAGTCACCCTCATCCGTGTCGTCTACTCCATTCCCCGTACCTAACGACGCTTTATGTCCGGCGTTTTTACAGTAGCCGCACGATGACTTCTCGGTCAAACCGCAGTATTCGATGATGGACCACTTGACCATCTTGGTCTAAACCTCCTAAAGAAAATAGGAATTTTTATTTCATTTAAACTATAGAATTCTGGTATTTGACAGTCTAACATAGGCTTTTTATGAAAAAGGAATATAACGTGTAACTGCCAGAAAGTTGGCGTTGAAATTAATGTTAAATTTCAACTCCGAAAATGCAGAAAACAGAAAGTTCTAGAACCAGTTTTCTATTTGTTATTCTATAATTGGATGTTAATAGTACATCAACGTTAAAACCCTTACGACGACTGGTCTACACAAAATTTCTCATGCATTTGAACTACAAATTTTTTTCAAAAAGTAATAAGCACAACCAGTAGAAACTCACCTAAGATTCACAATATCAAAGAGATGAGGCGGATAAACCGATTCTTATTGAAACAGAATTTGAAAAAGTTTTATTAAGAATGATACCAACGATAATGAGGTCCTCAACTACACTTCGACAAGTTCGTCGATAATACATTGACTTACTTCATACAAAAAAAGAGCCTGCACGGTTCAAACAGCATGCGTTCACCAGTAATTTAGCGACTTGCACAAGAAGAATGAATGTATACAGCAAACAAAAGATTTTGAGAACCCCTAGGCAAGGGTATGTGTTTGCTCGTTGTGTGTTTGGACCAGGAACAGTGTGTTTTCAAAGATTTTCAAATAACAGCATCTAAAGATCCAAAACAAATCCACGAGCGAAGCAGTAGTTACTGATGGCAGCAAAAGCAAGCTGCAAATAATCAAAGATCGACAATATGGCAAACAATAGAAAGAAAAAACTGTGAGATTATAGGCAGGAGCCTAATCCAACCTTTCAATCAACATCTGGCGAGTGCGTAGCAGTATTATTTGCTCCAGTTTCAACGCTTACAGGTGTTGCTGGCATAGTCGTAACTCGTTGTGAAGACT